CCTAACCACAGATCCCATTGTGAAGCTCATCAGCCTCATAGTCTAGCAGATGAGTTCTGTCAGTGCCATCTCGTGTACTCCTCAATGGTTCTGTGCCCTCTTGGCAGTATTCTCCAGATGGGACTGAAGTTCTGTCTTGCTTATCTTACTGTGGATGAGACAGGTCACAGAGGAAGTTCTGAGACTGGAAAAATGTTCAGTCAAAACTGGAGTCAGTCTTTCTTTCCTTCCTTCCTTCCTTCCTTCCTTCTCTCTCTCCCTCCCTCCCTCCCTCCCTCCCTTTCTTTTTTGTTGTTTTTTTGAGATAGGGTCTTCTTGTAGCCCCAGCTGGACTGAAACTCACTATGTAGCCCAGACTGGTCTCAATCTCACAGAGATCCACCTGCCTCTGCCTCCCAAGTGCTGGGATTAAAGGCATGTACCACCGTGCCTGGCCTAAGACTTATTTTTAATTATGTGTATGTGTGTGGGTATGTGCATGTGAATGCAGTATCTGCAAAGGTCAGAGGTATCAGATCTCCTTGGAACTGGAGTTATAATCTATGTAGGCTGTGAGCCACCTAATGTGGAAACACGGAATCAAACTCAGGTCCCCCTCCAAGGGCAGTACTCACTCTTAACCAATGAGCCGTCTCTCAAGTCCAAATAAACAGATTTTACTATGTCCTGTTTAAATAAGAACCAAGTGTGGTGGTGCACGCCTGTGACCCCAGCACTCAGGGAGGCTAAGACAAAGAATGTCTTGAATTCCAGAGCAGCCTGGGCTACTAGTGAGACTCTCAAAAAGTTAGAAGCCTTTGTGCGCATGCGCTTTTGACTCCGGGCTGCACCGCTGGTGGTAAGGCTGAAGCAGTTATGGAGGATGCTGTGGCGCCGGGTCGAGCAGGGGGAGGCATGGAAAGCCAAGGCCCGCAGGTGGCTGCAGGTCCAGGAGCCCTGGTGGAGCTGGTGAGCCCCTACCACACCCACGGGGCCGGGAGCCCTTAGACTTCGTGGCGCTCGCCGAGGAGGTGCACTTGCACCTTAGGACAGGCTTGTGAGTGCCACAGTTCCCATTTCACACATGAAGAGGGTCACTCTAACCCAGACTCTTCAAAGATGCACAAATGCACGTACTTTATGTTGCCTCCTGTAAGATCTTTGTTGCCTAAGAGCGTGTAAAACTTAGACGTTTTCCTTCTCTGAGACAGTTTAACCTTCCTGGATAGCCGAGGCTGGCTTCAAATCCATTCTCAAAGACTATTAGAGGGGTGTGCTACCACACCTGGTGAATTTCACCCTCTTCGGAGCGAAGAATCTGTTTCATCCTATGTCCTCATTCCCTGGATATGATATTCCTATGTCCAAGGCTTACACCAATGGTCAAAATGGGTAAAATGAAGAAATGATAGAGGAAAGCGATGTTTGGACACATTAACTTCAGGCAAATTGCTTCTCTTGGACCTCAGCGTCTATCTGTAAAATGAGCGGTTTGAGGTAGGAGGTCTTAGAGTGAAGTGAAAAACCAAGTTCCTTCTCATGTCTTGTAAGACTTTCGGAGCCCGGCTGCTTATTGTCCTCTCTTGTCCTTGTGCACACGGTCCAATTTGGCCTTAATCATGTTCAAACCTCCTTGTTTTGCTCAATAAAGTTAATGATTAATGTGCCCAAATCCTACACACACACACACACACACACACACACACACACACACACACGACAGATGGGTGTGGTGATGTACTCTAACTTTAATCCCAGCAGTTGGGAGGCAGGCAGGCAGATCTCTGTGAGTTCAAGGCCAGCCTGGTCTACATAGTAAGTTCCAGGCTAGCTGGGGGGTTCAGGGAGACCTTGTCTAAAAAGACCAAAAAAAACAAAACAAAACAAAACAAAAAACCCCAAATTTTGGGCGGGCGTGGTGGCACAAGCCTTTAATCCCAGCACCCAAGAGGCAAAGACAGGAGAATCTCTGAGTTCGAGGCCAGCCTGGTCTACATAGTAAGTTCCAGATCAGCTGGGGCTACAGGGAGACCCTGTCTCAAAAAAAGACAAAAAGAAGAAAAAGTAAATGAGTTGAAAAGCATCCTGCACACAGCTTTGGATTCCACAACTGTCAAAACGTGGCTTTAAAGATACATGTTTTTAAATTTTATTATTTTTGAGTATGAGTGTATTGCCTGCATGTGTGTAAGTGCACCCTTGTCATGCAATACCTTGCAAAGGGCAGGAAAGCATGTTTGTTGGACATTGGATTCCCTGGAACTGGAGTTAAGGACAGTTATTAGCTGCCAGTGTGGGTGACGGACAGCGAAGCTGGGTCCTCTGTAAGAACAGCCAGTGCGCTGTTCCTACTGAGCCATCTCTCCAGCCCCAGCTTTAAGATATTTTTTTTATCACAATTTCTGATTATTAACCAGGCATGGTGGTATACACCTATAAATCTCAACACTCAGGAGCCAGAAGTAGAACTACAGTAAGTCTGAAGCCAGCCTGGTCAACACATAAGTTCTAGACCAGCCAGAGCAAGATTCTGTCTCAAAAAAACAAAAAAACCAAACAAACAAAAAAGAATTTCTGATTATTTCAATTAAGAAGGCACACGTCAAAATTTTTTTTTTTACATATTTATTCTATGTGTGTGTGTGTGTGTGTGTGTTTGTCTGTGTTGGTCACTTGCAGGAGTCAAGTTTTCTCCTTCCACCATGTTTGTCCCAGTGACTAAACTCAGGTTGTCAGGCTGCGTGGCAGGCACCTATTCCCACTAAGCCACCACACCAGCCCAAGGTACACATCTCTGGCTACATTATCACACACACATATCCCATATACTTGGCAGATAATGGATCTCCAGGGAGATGATTTATCAAAAACAGTCACCAAAACTTGTAAGCAGTCTGGATTCATGTTTATTGAAGCCAGTAATTAGACATCTTTTTCCCAGCACTAGAAAGCAAGGTTCCACATGACTGCATACTGTACCCAGATAGAGCCACACCCCTGGCCTAAGACTAGTGGGGGATAATCTGCAGTCCTACTTTTAAGTTAAACACACCAATGAACTTAGCATATAGACGACAGTGAACTTTCACTTACAGCATCAACATTAAGGTCATGATGTACAGAGCAGTGACTTTCAACTTCATCAGCTTAAGAAAACATGACAGTCTCTTCAGTTTAAATACTGGTTTTAAAATGCCAATCAAAAAAAGTGCAAATAAAATAAAATAATCTAGCAGCATATCTGTTGCATTTTTAGGAAAGACCAATTGATAGCCCTCTTGTAGGCCGTAACTTTAAGATTGGGCTTATTTTAATTTTCCATTTAAAGACAAACAGAGGTAATCATTATAATGTGTATAGTCATAAAATTATCTTTACAGTCTACCATACAAGTGTATTCTGCAAATAAAATGAATTTTACTTTAAAAAGTAAAGGCTGTTTTTATTATTTGGCCTTTGGTTCCAATGCTTGAGAATCCTAAAAATAACAAAAATTGCCCCCCCCACCCCTAAAAGAACCCTGAAGCTCCCCAAAGCTGGTAGACTTTGGCAACCACTGAGCACATGACATCATGCACCAGTTTCTTCTGAAACCAGGAACATCCACTTGTCAAAAGAATAAAAGTGGTCTCCAAGAAATCTTCCTTCACAAGACCGGTGTCTTAGCATTTCATCGGTTTTAGTACATTTGACATCGACACAAAGTGCTTAACATTTCAAATGATAACTTTTAAATTCTGTATTAAAACTTAAAAATCACACTATATCCCCCTTAGGCACGAGCCTTTCCAAGAATCCCCTCTTGTTTCTGAGGTCACTCATTTTGCCCTGGTTGTTACAGAGATTAAGTGACCATAGCTTAATGTGGTCATAAAGTGTTTGGCATCCACAGGTCACTATACCACAACACTCACTAGAGTCAGTTTACTGTCATCACCTAGACAACCTGGTGATTGGAAGCCACAATGCATGTTTAAAAAACCCCCCAAAACAAAAACTAAAGCAAATTCCCAAGTAACAAAAAACTGAATTAAAAAAGGAAAAAAAAAACCCCATATATTTCAACAATAAAACTGGCACAAGAAATATCTTTTTGTCTGTTAGAAAGGCAAGTAAATACTCAACTTTCTCCTTAACAGTGTTCAGACCTTTACAAAAGCAACTCAAGACAGTTTTAGAAGTCTCATTATATAACACAGGATGTTAACTTATGCCCAGTACTACATTAGTGGTTAGTCAAATCTGGTACGTGAAAGTAATGACATTAGGGACATTATGCTGAGACACAATACAACAAACATTCATATATAAAAAAGTAAACTCCAGGTAAGCACACTGTGGTTTTTCCCTTGGTTTGGACAACAAATGTTTTATACATTAAAGTCATGGTAGTGTTTACATTTACATGCACTGTGTCATATAGAAAACTGAAAGTGCCATTTCAAATCCACAGAAGTCATTCTCAGAATGGTGGTGTGACATGACAATGTGCACAGATATGCCCTTAACAGGAGACACATGAAACTCTCACTTCCATAAGAAGTGCTACATTTTAAGAAAAACACAAATTTATCATTTTCCTTTTCAATATAAAACACCCACACTTGCTCATCTGATAGCACTATCAGACCAGGGAGCTAGAACCAGACCCTTTATGTATCAATCAGTGGAGGTTACCACAGACTATAAGGCAGGGGTTGGTATAAGCCAATTAACCAGAATGCAATGCCATGAAACACTTCCCCCAAACTTTCTACAGCATATTGCCATTATGGTATGAGAAGTCAAATCACCCATTCCCTATTAGTAGGCCAGCTTGTGGTAGTCAAATTAATTTAAAAACAAAGCAGGAGCTATTTAAAAGATACAATTCAAAGTAAACTAATTTTTTATCTGCTGACTTTGAACAAAGCCCACAGTGACTGCCTGCGCCAAGGTATATATGCGTAGAGCCCAGCATCTCCCCAGCATGGCCTGGATCAAGCATGTGGGTCCTGAGTGGCTGCCATCTTTGTCACCCATTTTAGTTCCACCTGACTCACGCACCCCCTGTAAAACACATCTTCCATAAATTAAAGATGTATTCAGAACAAGTCCAATTCCCATTTTGTGTAGTGTTTAGTTTGGAAATGCTTTCAATTTTAAATCTTAAACAATGTTACTCGACGTCTACTGAACACACAGTATTTACTAACACTGCGCATCTCCTCCTTCCTCCACCTCCCTCAACATTCAGCTTCCCCACCCCATCACTTCTCTTGTTCCTCCTAAACTCTTTCTCTTTCCTGGACTTTCTGCTACTTAATCTGCTTCCCAAGAACAAGTGAATTTGATAACACGCAACTGGTCAGGCTAACCACCATCCGATCAATGATTTCCTAGTCTTGTTTATTTCACCCTGACAGAAGTGGGCCCCCTTTCTCTGCTCTACAAGAAGCCCAGCTGTGCTTGCTTCCCACAGGAGAACCACATGCCCGAGAGTCTAAGGGTCATCCTTAAAGGGGCTGATGTGTACCCTTCCTAAATGTGCATTTCACACTCGGACAAGCCAATGAAGTATATATATATTTTTAAAAGTTCATCTCCCCTACCCCCAAAACTGATAGCATGTGCCATATCAGAAAAATCCTGGTCTTAGCAGATCAATATACATAATTATTTGGTCATTTGACATATGCACTTTTAAAGAAGGATCAAGCTTCATTTTCTGTTGAAGAGTTTGTTACCATGGAGTCTGGTTTTCGAGTCATTCTATCCAGTTCTTCCTGAACATTTGACAACACAGTCTTTTGTCCTTAAAAAGGGAAGAAAGAAAAAAGAAAATGGGGAGGGGGAGAGCAAAAGAGCAATGTGAGAAGACTTCTAAAAAGCAGCATTTAAAACTATAGATTTCTGTCATCACTTGTAGTGATAGTATCCTGACGGACAGTGAGGCAGAATCAAATGTCACAGGTCTGTGCTCCTCCCACTATTTGGCTGGGAGTAGGGATGCCTTTATGCAAAACACCAGGGGGCTTCCAGAAAACCCTCTCATGCTCTCCCCACAAGCCCTGTGCATTTTCTCCGCCATCTCCCTTGAGGTCACCATCTGTGTTTCAGGCATGTAGTAAACTACTTTTAACCAGACATTCAGGTTGTGTCTCTAAGGACAACACTCTAGACTGACTTGTGAACTGTAGGTGTAGCTCTGAAAGGGCACTCACATTAACATGCTCAAGACCTTCCTGGATTTGATTCCCAGCACTACAAATACACACACACACACACACACACACACACACACACACAAAACCCATAACCCATTAAGACCTAACTCACAAAGAAACACCATGTTTCAAGAAGATGAGACCAAGGCCAGGCAGTTCAATCCTGCATGAAGTTGGTGTTCCTATTTTGTGTTAACAAACACTATCTAGGTCTTGGACGATAATCCCTATTTCTAGTAAGGGACAAACAGTAAGTCAAGGCCAAGGCCCAGCCTAAATTGTTGATTTTCTAAGAATTCAGTAGCTGCTGAAGGCTTAGGCTGCCCTAAGGCCAGAATGATCTTCTAGCATTCTGTTTTACCCTGGAAGCTTTAATTAGAGAAAAACACTGTCAACATGTGCGTAATATACCCTTTATATGCTTGCTAGGTGTTGTGGTACACCCCTGTAATCCCAGCAAAAGGATCAAGAACTCAACACCAGCCTTTGTTACAAAATAGTGGGTTTGAGGCTAGCCTAAGCTACACAAGGCCCTGACTCTAAAGACAAAAAAAAAAAAAGCCCCGAACATCCTCTTACTGCTTGCCTAGCATGTACAAACCCCTAGGTTTGAGCCCCAGCCTCACTTAGAAAGGAAATAAATAAAATGTCCCCAGCTTCTTGAGAAAAAGTGTGATTCCCAAGAAACTTAACTCTCTTGTTTCAGAGACCTTCAAGACTGACTTGTCCCAACATCTACATAGACGGACAGGTGGCTGGGCCACCATAGAGAGCTGTTTGTTACAAGAATGGAGAAGATGATGATCCTTCAATAAGATAGTGAGGGTTCATAAGGCTGAATTCAGCTCACTAAAAGACTAGAGGAGTGGAACAAATAAAATTCCTTTGAAAGCATAACATTAAATAGATGTCAATAGTATACCCTATCATGATCTCCAGTGGAAATAGCTTCCACATCAAGGTCACATGCATGACTTAGATCTTATGCTGATTTACTCAATGGTCTAAATTAAATCACACTTTAAATGTGCCATGAAATCTACAATGCCATGAGGCAACTGGACTGAAAGCATGGCACAATGCCTAGTCTAAGCACAGACCTACTTTGTGCAGCTGTTCAGAACACTGAAGGTCTACAGGCTGGGTAGAGGCAATCTTTGCTGTCTGCCTCCCCATCCAGTCAGCATTGTTCACCACAAGGGATCCAAGTCTCTGAGCCCTCTGTACCTGACTTCTTAGCTGTGCTTTGCACTCCACTAGCACCAGGACTTCCAGGAGAGCCTGTTTTTTTACTCAACAGACTATTGAAGAAGCTGGCCAACACCCCTTCACTTGCTGCATTATCTAAGAAAACAAGAAAAACAAAACAGAAATCAAAATAACATTCAAACTGGATGAGTTAAAACAAAGTGGTTCTCAACTTGGAATTAGGCATTTGTAGCTATCACCTTCCCAGCACACTGACCACATTCACAATTCCCTTCTACCTCATTACTCATGAGGATAATTAAAGCAGCGACACAATTACCGAGTGGAAGCATTTTCACATTGCCCACCTCTTAGGGGTACAAAATAAGCTGTGTTCCACACGATCTGTGTCCTCAGGACAGCGTTTTTCAGTTTTATAAACCTTAAAATGCAATCTGTTAAAAAAAGCTCATATCCTAAGTAGAAGATGCTCACCAAATGTGCAAGAATTTACACAATTTTGTTCAGATGGTTTTACTGTAGAAAATATCTTTGGGTATCAATAAGAAGCTGGAATAGCTTGATAAAAACAAGAGAAAATATCCAATCCATAAATAGCATAACACAAACATAAGCAAAATTACAGATTTTATAGCAACTTCCTAATCTGTATTCTTTTCTGAAGGCACCTGTAGGGTCTGAAGTCTTGTGCAATGACAGGTGCTAAGCACTACCAATGCCAACACAGGAATAGGTCCTAGTCTCTGCCACCTATAACCCTTCTCCCTCTGGGAGACAGGAAAGGAAACGTAAATCTCATTGCAAAGAGGACAACCCAGCTTTCCTGGACTTCTACTTGAGAGTCAAGTTACTGCCACAGGGCTTGGCCTAGAAACAAAATCCCTCCCCAGAGACAACATACATACTTTTGATGTTTGAGTCTGGCTTCTTTACTGATGTTCCCGGGGAGGCACTTGGCACACTGGCTGGCCCAGCCCGGCCCTGGGTCCTTGGAGAGCCAGAGGGTCCTCTTGCAGGGGATTCCTAAGTCCAAAACCAGGTCACACATAGGTATACAAATAACAGAAAATACGTGTTTCTAAATGAGTCATGGTTTCGCATGACATTTTTCAGTCAGGGAACAGACGTGGTTGTTTGCTCCCAGCTCAGTCCCTTTCTATGCCTCAGTGTCTTCTGAGAAGAAAAGCGAACTCTGATTCTTTTTTTTTTTGGTCTTTTTGAGACAGGGTCTCCCTGTAGCCCCAGCTGTCCTGGAACTCACTATGTAGACCAGGCTGGCCTTGAACTCACAGAGATCGGCCTGCCTCTGCCTCCCAAGTGCTGGGACTAAAGGCATGAACCACCACGCCCAGCAAGCGAACTCTGATTCTTAAGTGTAGTCCTTCAAACATTTCCTGAGACTCTATTATAGTCCTGGTTGTGGTCCTGTAGGGAGGCCAATTCACTTTAAAATATAAAGGTCCACATAAACAAATTATTACAAGTAATGGAATAAAGTTTGAAGGCACCCACGACACTGGGCCAAATGACCTGTATTGTGTATGGTACTCACGGAGGCTCTTGTGGGCGTGGCAGGCTGCTTGGCAAGGAGTGACTGCAAAGAGAGGGACAAACTGGCCATTAACCAAGGCCTGCAGCATGCACTGCCTGGAGAAAAGCTTAACTCCTACTATTATTCCACTAGAGGGTGCCAATAACAGGTCATGTTTTATACTATACATGCAAAACAATCTAAATCCAGCGTTTGGTATGTGATAGATACTCCAAGTAACCAACTTTGAAGCCAAAAAAGTAAGGAGGCCATAGAAAGAATTGAGTTGGGAAAAAACTGTCAAAACCCAACAGTACTTGCCTATAACCTCATGCAGATGATGATACATCTAACAATAGTTTGGGTCAAAGAGATTGGGTTTGTATTTAAAACTCTCAGTTTAGGGGGTAGAAAAGTGGGTCTGGGAGAACTTAGGGAGAGGAGTGGGGGATTAATATGATCAAAATATACTGTATGCATGTATGAAATTCTCAAAAGGATAAAGGTTCTTGCCTAGCATGCACAAAGCTAAGTTCGAGTCCCAGTACTACCATAAAACTAGACATGGCGGCACACATCTGTAATCCTAGCACTTGAGAAGTACAGGCAGGAGGATCAGAAATTCAAGCTCATCCTTGGCTATATATTAAGTTTAAGGTCAACTTGGGATATATGAGATCCCATCTTTAAAAAAAAGAAAACCAAAACTTAAAAAAAAAACTGTCAGTGGGGAAGCCACTTTCCTCACCCATAAAAACGTAGACCAGGCTGGCCTTGAACTCACAGATATCAGCCTGCCTCTGCCTCCCAAATGCTGGGACTGAAGGAGTGCACCAACACGCCAGCACGTTACGCTTTTATATACTGTGAAATAATGGATATGGGGCCACACCACTTAAAAACACACTAAGCCTATCCCCACAGAAGAAATGTGCAAGGCAGGCAGAGTCAGGCATCCTGAGGCAGGTGTCCCAATTCCTACCAATCCTAGGAAGAGGAGGGAATGAGGAGACCTGGTGTCAAGCTCAGTACCTCTGCAAGCTCTCCGATTCCTCACACGCAGACAGCCCCAAATCCCTCCTTGGAAAATGGCATTCCAGGCATGAGAAAGCCTCTTACCTGTTGCTTCATTAGGAACACCTGCTCATCCTCGGCTGCCAACTCTTTGTCGTGGACCAGCTGTGAAATGATGCACATTTGTGGTCACTGGCAAAGAACACTCTCAAATGTTTGTTAAAAGTTATGCTACAAGGAGAATTTTGGGCTTGGGTCCCTACACAGGTCTGGGGGATCCTTCGTGAGACTGCAGTTGTATTTTTTAGCTGGATACAGAAGACTTAAAAACATCAAAAGTAGCCATGGCTCATAGGCCAATTGATGTTTTTAAGTCTAGAAATTCCTAAACAAAACCTCCAAGATTCCAGTCTTCAGGAGATCCCAGGAGGGAAGGACCTAACAAGAAATGCCACCCAGCTCAATGTGAGCACACTATTACTCATACCCCTACCCTGAGCCATCTGAGTAACATGAGGTCTCATTTTCAAGACTTTAAAAAAGGCCCTGGGTTATTCTTTTTCTTTGGTGGTGCAATGGAAGATCTGCTTTTTTTTTTTCTTTTCCTGTCTTTTTTTTGAGACAGGGTCTCCCTGTAGCCTCAGCTGTCCTGGAACTCACTATGTAGACCAGGCTGGCCTCAAACTCACAAAGATCCACCTGCCTCTGCCTCCCAAGTGCTGGGATTAAAGACGTGCACCACCACGCCTGGCTAAATCTGCTTTTTTTTTTCTTTTTTTTTTTTCAATGTTGCTGAATTATTATTATAATTTTTTTTTTTGTCTTTTTTGAGACAGGGTCTCCCTGTAGCCCCAGCTGTCCTGGAACTCACTATGTAGACCAGGCTGGCCTTGAACTCACAGATATCCGCCTGCCTCCGCCTCCCAAGTGCTGGGATTAAAGACGTGCGCCACCACGCCCGGCTAGATCTGCTTTTTAAATAGTTTCCTTTCCCAATGAAAACACTTCAAGCCTCCAAGGCTTGTCAGGGTACCTTTCTCACAGGAGGTTTTACAATAAAGTCTTCATATGCATCTTCTGGCTTCACGGTTGTAAAATTTTCATGCAAAATAGCTATTTTCTTTTCATTGTCCCAGCCTGCAGGTCTAAAGGCAAGAGGCACAAATTAGCCTTGCTTTTCCTGAGATTGCCTTCCCACATATTTGGAATACATTTCAGGTTATAAGTGACTCCTAGGTGAGGTGAGGTTCTTTCCCATAGATTAGTCTACAGCTGCTGGCTGTGCCTTGCAGTTATGGGCACATAAGCCAAAATCTACAGCAGGCATGTCCCATCAGATCAGTATGACAGGTCCTGCTCCATGTGGTACTCAGGGACCCCAGGCCTAAGGAGCCAGTGTGAGACACTGCCCCAACAGAAGGGTTCAGGACTCTCCAACTGTGCCTTTAAGAACAAGGGCAGAGTGGGGCCCTGATATGACCAAGAACACACAAAGGACAGAGCACAGGAGAGAACCATTATTCCCCGTCTTTGGTTCTCTTCTTGGGTGTTGTCCCTTTCCAATGTATACTATTTCTTTATAACAATTATCTCATGGATAATCCTTAATTTTGTTGTCATGGGAGGATGTGCCCTGAAACCAAGGGGAAACTACGACCTGTACACATCCTGGGCACACAGAGTAACAAGGAGGCCTTGAGGCCCCTACATGAGTGTTGCACAGCTCAACATCACAAGGCAGGATCGCAACAAGATTCCACTAGACTAAAAACCTCAGCCTTGTGTTCCCATCTTACTATCTTAAAAGTTGCATCCGTAGAACATCCTACATAATAAACTTTTGAACTCGAGCTCTGAAAAAAGTAACTGTTCTCACAACCCTCATCCTTCACCCAACTCCTGGTCTGGAGCTCTATTATCATGAGAACGCACATCTGGGATGCTCCTCCTAAACAGTCTTGCTTTTACTAGACTCCACATAGGCAACTACCAACAGACCAACAGCACAAAGGGAAAGTTCAAATGACATAATACCATGACCCATGTATCCTCCAGAGACCTCAAGATGGTTTTCTATTTCATACCAGACCCAAATGCAACCAGGCTCCTGCTCTTTAGGCCACAGTGATTTAAGAGCTGAGTGATCACAAAAGCACACCACTCACTGAGTCTGTGCTTTTGGTGCCTGTCTGGCTGTGCTGATTGATTCTCCAGAGCAAGTAGGTACCTAAGTAACCTTAATAAGGCTTTCCTTAAATGTCAGGAGGCAAGTTGTTCTGTTTCCCAGGACCACCTGACTCACATATCTCCAGCCTCTCAAAGATGCCCTTGCTCAATTCCTTCTGGTCTGCCTGGGTAGACCACTCATTTTTTAGCATCACCCCCTCTGCCCTTACTCCCCTAGCCCATTGCTGTCCTTTTCCTCTTCAGGTATGAGCCTGTTTCTGTACCACAGCAGGGACCACATCTCATTCATTTCTTTGTCCTCAGCAGAGAACCTGGGTGCCTAGGAGTTGCCAAGTAAAGTACACTGAATGGACAAATGTGTTAAGTTCAGAGGCTATCAAAGTGTGAATGTCAACCTGATGATCAAGACCACAGCATCATTTATGTATGTCCAGCAACACAATTCTCCAGTGGGAGAAAAGATGCCAACTCAGGAAACAGTTATTGCAGTACAATCAATCCCAGAGACTGCAAAATGCAAATGCCAGAAATGAAAGGACTTGGTATGGGCAAAATCCACAATGACACAAATACTGAGAAGGGCTACAATCAACCCTGTCAACAGGCACTCAACAGAGGCTTTAACATGACACTTGGATCCTCAAACTGAAATCCTCTACACTTCGATTCTCTCCACAGCCAATGCTTCACCAGAACTAATGGAAAGTGCTCAAAATGGCTGCTTACATTCTGACAACCTTCTTCCAATGAAGAAAGCAGCACCCTTATCCACACCACCTACTTCCCTCATGCAAAAGGACTCAATCCAGAAGGAGCACAGAGTTCCGGCCCAAGCTCTTTCCTCAGACACAGCTGTACTTTTAAGAGTAAAATCTAAGTAGCAAATATACTATACAAAGGGCTTAAAATCATCATGTGTGAAGAACTCACATAAAAACTGCATCCTTTTCCACAACTAAGGCAGGCGTGGTAAAGTGGAAACCATATGTTTTATGAACAATGTACTTATACAATAAGTCAAGGTTTTTTTCTTCCTTTACTGAGGTGTAAATCAAGGCAGCTCCATCTAATCAATCTGCTTAAGGAAAACCAAGTCATCGTGGAAAAAAAATCATATACAAGCACAATCCTGCCCCCAGACAGGGTCTCCCTGTAGCCCCAGCTAGACTGGAATTTGCTATGCAGACCAGGCTGGCTTCAATTTCCCAGAGATCTGTCTGCCTCTGTCTCCTGAGCGCTAGGATTAGAGGTGTACACCACCTATGCCCAGTTGGTTTTTTTTTTTTTTTTTTTGGTCTTTTTGAGACAGGGTCTCCCTGTAGTCCCAGGTTACCTGGAACTCACTATGTAGACCAGGCTGACCTCAAACTCATGCCTGCCTCTGCCTTGGGGAGAGCGTGGGGATTAAAGGTGTGTGCCACCATGCCCAGCCTCAGTTGTTTTGCTTTTTAATGTATGAGTGTTTTGCCTGCATTCATATAGGTGTATCACTAATATGTAATGCCTGCCAAAAGGTGTGGAATCCCTGAACTGGAGTTACTGACAGTTGTTAGTCACCATGTAAGTGCTGGGAACCAAACTCAGGTCCTTTCCAAGACAAGTCAGTGCTTTTAACCAGTGAGCCATCTCTCCAGTCCCAGCAAGGATAATTCTTGGTTGTGAGCCCGAGTCTTTAATGGCTGTGCCAGCTCTCCAGCCCAACAAGTACAATCCTTTTTTTTTCTTTCCCCTTTTCAGACGGGGTCTCTCTGTAGCCCCAGCTGGCCTGGAACTCACAGAGATCTATTTGCCTCTGCTGGGATTAAAGGTGAGTGCCACCCCGCCTAGCTACAAGCACAATTCTTTTTTTTCTTTTCAATTTTTATTTATTATTTTTATGTGTATGCATGTATTGCCTACATGTAGGTAAGTGTACCCATGTCGTGCAACGCTCTCAGAGCTCAGAAGAGGATGTTGGATCCCCTGGGACTGGAGTTACGGACAGTTGTTAGCTGCCATGTGGGTGCTGGGATTCGAACCAGGGTCTTCTGCAAGAACAACCAGTGTTCTTAGCCGCTGAGCCATCTCTCCAGCCCCAAGCTTTAGTACTTAAAGTACTAACTGACTTGTTTTTTATTCACATATGAACAAGAAGACATTCAAAATTTAAAAACTGAAAAGAAATAGGAGCAGAGAGACCATGATAAATGCATAAGGTATGCTAATGCTGGTAGGCAAACAGCTGGTTCTTTAATACAGCCTGTTGATTTTTCAGGCTGCTTCCCAAAAAAGCAAAATTAGTGGCTCACTGGGGACAACACCCTCAGCATGGAGGTACACAGATTCTTTCTGAAGCAGAGGCTCAGATAGGAGCAAGTTTATCATTAAGCACACACTCAGAGCTAGGTATTAGCAAGTTAATGGGCTCAAGGGAAGCAGCTGTTGTCTCTATTCTAGGGCATGAGACTACTAGCTTTTCATAGAAGATTCAAAAAACTGGAGATCACAAGTTCCAGGCCAGTCTGCACGACATAGAAGACTTACTCCAACACAGTGAAATATAAAACTAGGAGAAAGATATACACAAATATTCCATGGAAAAAGACTACTCTGTGGGGCTGGCAAGAGGGCTTAGTGTCATTTGGGTAAAGGTGCTTGCTGCCAAGCCTGATGACCTAAGTTTGATCACTGGAACCCATATGGTAGAAGGAGAGAACTGACTCCCCCAAGTTGTCCTCTGATCTACACACACACACAACCTTTAATCCTGACACTCAGGAGACAGAGGCAGACAGATCAGGTCTCTGTGAGTTCAAGGCCAACATGGTCTATATTGCAAGTTTCAGGCCAGCTAGGGTTACATAGTAAGACCCTGTTTCCAAAGGGGGGGGGAGACTACTGTGTGTTCATGTTCAGGAGGTGTTCTGAAGACACTCCATCTGGAGCAAAGCCTGTGCTCCTGACCGAACCCGACAAAGGACCCCAAGGATACACTGGAGGCAGAATCTCCGTAGGTGTGACTGGATGAAGTCCAAGTGCTCATCCCTGTAATCATGCTCCTTCTCCAGTACGCTCACTGCATCACACTGAGGGGAGACGACACCAAGAGAATTAGCTTTTGCTTCTTTGTCTGCTGAGGACAGGAAGAGTGACTTCTTCAGAAATAAAGCATCTCCAAAAAGCACCTCACCAAGAGCCCAGGTACAAAGTAGAGAAAAAGGAACTTTTCTTTCATCCAGGGTGGCTTCAGTTTATCCATAAAGTAGAGATATATAGGCCTGACCATCTCATTGTTTTCAACATCAAATGAGGCCACATGGGGAGACAAGCCTACTTGATACCCCAGCTGTGCACTGCATTTCACAGGGCTTCATTTCAAGAACAGGGTGAAACAGGCATAATTTGTAGTTGGGCAAGGTGGTTTTGAAATCTAAAATGTGCTTTCCCCTTTATATGAGACACTTTCTCTAAAATTAAGCTTAATTCTTCATCATTTTACTTTTTCAACATTGGTTTGGACCAGATGAACCAATTTGCAGTCTTAAGAAAACTATTACTTGAGTTTGCCCATGAAATCACCATGGCTTTCTGAACTGAGTGATAAGTTTCCAGCAGCAACATTAAATGACAATGTGCTCTGCTCTGACACAGTCAATGTACTTTAAAAGAATCCCGAATAAGCCCAATTCTCCCTTGGGAAGAAACTTCATCAAAGTTCCTCAAACTTTCTTTAGATAGCAATTGTTCACTGGCCAAACCCAGCCAAGCTTACAATTCCCTGGACGCACCTTTGTGCACACCACCAACACTGGGATCCCCAGGTTATGAGTCAGCACACTGTCACCCAGTGGCAGGGCAACACCGTCTTCATCTGACCCTGAAGTCAGAGGTCCTCTTCTCTGTGGGGAACCCTGACAACCTTCTTCAGGCTCGACATAGTCTTGAAAATCTTTCATAACTGCCAAAGAAAGAGAGAAAGACACCAATGAAAATACATATTTGGGTGGTTAAAAAAAGGATAGAGGCCAGGCATGGTGGCACACTCCTTTATTCCCAGCACTCAGGAGGCAGAAGCAGGAGGATCTCTGAGTTCAAGGCCAGTAACCAATATAAAACCGAAGCATCTGTGTATGACAGAGATAAGGATTTAGGGACAGTGATGTGAAATGCCAACTCTGACACATGTTAAATCTGAGCCGTGTAACTGCAGAGCAGGAGACATTCCTTGGACATCTTCAATTTCATCCAATTCAATTTCTAAACAGGTTTTAAAAGCAGTGGTTCTTCAGCTTCTGTTTTTACTGGGGACTGAACTGCAGACCTCCTGTGTGTGAGCCCCCAGTCCAGGTTTTCAGCTTTTAGGCTCTTACTAGTTCCAACTATGAAAAAACAAAACAAAATAAAACTCCATTTTTCTTTTACACCCTACATTTTTCAAACTCTCAGAATAGCTGAGCTGTTCATCGTAGGTGATCATTAGAACTTTCCATAATACAACTTGTTGGCATCATCATTCAAAATGCTCACAAAACACTTATACTCTGAATTCCAGGAGAGCACGCTATTTCTGTACAGTTGAGGCGAGTCAGCACTGAGTAATAAGGCTATAACTGCCTAGCACCAGCCACACTTCCTCCTTGTCTCAACTCTTACTGACTCTGGTAATATCTTTAGTGGATCTCAAGTTACGTAAGCAGTGTGCCTGGCCTAGCTGTGCCTATTACAAAAAGAGCCAGGGGCACAGCATCTACTTCTTGGCATATCCATTCATTACATTGGTTGAAAATGGCCCTTAGGCTGAGGGTTCAATAGCTATAGTTAAACCAAGTGGTCACAAAACCCTGTTCTACGAGCACTTTAGTTCACATGAGTTGGTTTGTTCATTTTATATAGGGTCTCGTTATGTATTCCTGGCAGTCTGGAATTCACTATGTAGATCAGGCTGGCCTTGAGCTTGCAGTGATGAATACCCCTGCCTCTGCCTCCTGAATCTTAGGATTACAGGTGTGAGACACCATACATAGATCTTCACATGATAGCTAAACCCCCTGGGCAGAGGAGCCAACATGCAACTCTACCTTCCTAGTAAGCCCAATAGGATTGAAAAAGCCTAAGGCATTTTATTATATTTTCACCCAAAACATGCTCCCTAAGTAAATGTAGACAATAACACTATTGAGGACCAAAAGAAAGGTGCACATTCTCCTCTTCACCCACAGAACACAATTCAAACATTTTTTTAAAAATGGAGTCTTTACTTATAGATTTTCATTTATTGTTGTGCTTCTGAAATTACCTGACAGCTCAGTCATCAAACAATACTAGCAGATTAAAAGCTAATCAGTTGACATAGTTTGGATAGGAAGAGCAGCCCCAAAGGCTCACATAGTGAAGCTTCCCCAGCTGTTGGCACTGAGAGGTGACTGGATCAAGAAGGCACTAACTTCATAAATGGATTAATTCATGGATAAGTTCACAGCTGAATAGGCTATTAGAGGGTAGAGCCTCAGACAGAGGAAGCAGATGACTAAGAGTGTGCCTTGGGAGGATATATACCATGGCTCTCATCCTCCCCACCCCCTCAGGCAGAGGAAGCAGGTCACTAAGAGTGTGCCTTTGGAGGATATACACCATGGCTCTCATGCTTTTCTCCCCCCCCCCACCATGGTCTCTGTCTGTCTCTCTCTGTCTCTCTCTCTCTCCCCCTCTCCCTCTCCCTCTCCCTCTCTGAAAAAGGGTCTCACTTTGTAGCCCTGGCTGACCTGGAACTCACAGAGATCCACTTGCCCCTGCCTCCACGGTGCTGGGACTGAAGGAATGTGCCACCACACCTGGCCTTCTCTCTTTATTGAGACATAGTCTTAAGGAGCCCAGACTAGTCTTTAACTCCCTATGTAGCTGAGGATGACCCTGAATGTTTGATCCTCCTGTCTAATCCCTCCTGCTATAATTATAAGCAGAAGCCATCATGACCAGTTTATTTGATGCTGGGGACTCAATCTAGGGCTCCGTGAATGGTAGACAAGCACTCTACCAACTGAGTTACACCCCTAGGCCCTCCCTTTTCTTTCTGCTCCTCATCTACCATAGGGGAGCAACTTCGTGCCCTTCCACCATGTTTTTGCCTTACCACAGGCCTAAAAGCTAGCCACCAAGACTGGAACCCCTTTCTCATTGTCTTGTGTATATACATGTGCATGCACCTGAGTGTGGGGGTCAACAATGACACTGGGTGTCTTTCTCAATTATTCTTCACCTTATTTTTTGAGATAGAATCTCTCACTGAACCTGGAGCTCACCAATTTAGCAGGCCTGATTGGCCTGAGTGATCTTCCTATTTCCTCCTTCATAGCACTGGGATCACAGCTGTGATACCTGCCTCTTACATGGATGCTGAGGACTAAACTATGGTCTCTGTAGCAAGCATTTTACAGATGGAACCATTTCTCTACCTGCTCCTTGGTTTCCTTAAGTATTCTCACAGTGAGTCAGAAACTAACACACTTAATCCCTCAAGTAGATTCTTTCAAATCTACTTCTCTTTAATTAAGCTCATGCATGTAACTTCATTGTCAACACAAAGAATCTAGCAAAGTTCTCTGGACAAAACCAGAGTCCTTGGTATGGTTGCTGGAGGAGCTTAGAGAAACTAAAAATCCCAATATTTTCTTAATTAATTAAAGCATTTAGTTAAATTAGTTATATGTATGAAAGGATTAACCAGAATCAAGAAACACAGATATGGTTCCAGCAATTGCTAGATTGCCCTCCACTGTTCTTTCTCCTCTTCCTTCAGGTGAACAGAACCCTGGTACTCAGAACACATGGCCACAGAGAATTAAGATATTTTCTGGACCAGCAAGATGGCTCAACAGATAAAAGCACCTGCTGTGCAACCCTGGTGACCTGAGTTCAGTCCTCAGAACCCACAAACTCACAGTGGAAAGAGTTATCCTCTGATTTCCACACACATGCTATGGCACATACCTGCTACACACGCACACAGACACACACACACACACACACACACACACACACACACAGACTCCATTTCTCATCCTCTTTATAAGACAGCAGGTTTGCACATGTCAGCATTTCCTTCCTTTCTCCATCCTGTGACCTACTGATGTACTTACTACTGCTAGAGCTCTAGTTGTCAAGAGGAAAAGAACTGCATCCTAAAAATGACAGAGCAGTAAGCACATGGGAGCCTGCATTCTTGAACTGTCTTCCCAGGCTGCGCCCCTGAACTGATTACCTCTAGATTTCATTTTTAGATGAAATAAACTCAAGTCTTGTTTAAGCCAGTTTTCTGTCATATGCCTCTGAATCTAATCTTAAGTGACACAGACATCAATGACTAAGACCATAATTCAGTGTCTCATGCCACAAGCCCCCTGAGAATAGACATCCTATCCTGTCTTCCCTATCTCCAGCACCCAGAGCAACACCTGGTACCTAGCAGACACTTTCCATATCTGCGAAAGAACAGTGCCCTTAGTCAATGTTAGTCTTTTTCTGTTTAAATAAATCTTTATAAGGTTATCAACCCAAGAAAATCAGTTCAGAGAACTGAAGTGCTTAGCACATTAAGGCACAAGTCTGGGTATGAAGCTGTGTGTGGTGAACTGGAAACAGCTATTTAGCCTTAGAACTATTCTGCCAAGTTGTCTTTAGTATCTCGATTTTGAAAGAAAAAGAGGCATTATCTAAAAAGGTCAGTGGATGAAGACAGATGAGCTGAGCTGCACAACAATCACTCTATCACATGTGGGTAAGCCAGGAAATACATGTAATGAACTGAAGACTAGATGCTAAGTGGCCTGTTTTAGTTAATGTGAGATGGGGCAGGATGACGTACAGGATAGAAGACATACAGGAGGAGATCCAATTTGAAAAGCATCATCAAAATTTCAGAATCCTTCTGCCAGTAAGCGTGTAGATCCTGTGTGCCATGTCCCAGAACCCTCATCAATTCACCACAGGGAGTGATGTCATCCTGTGGCACTAAGCCAGGCTCAGCAAAGCCTGTCTTGGCCAAGATGCTCCCTTGCCCCTCCTATTTCCCTGGCAAAGAGACAGAAGCTGATGTAACCACACAGAAGCAAGGAAAGGAAAAACAAGCTTCTGAGCCATTAAAAAAAAAAAAAAAAAAAAGCCAAACTTCTTTTAATTTGAAAGTCTTTTTTCTCAAAAGGATTCAGATGGCTTTAGTCTTAAAATAGCCTTTTATTAAATCTTAATGCCCCTCCCCCCAACCCTGGGCAAAAATGACCTTCTTACTCCTGACTATAATCATATTTGCTGGATTACAAAATAAACTAAAATAAGACTTAAAAGAGTCTTTAGGACTCTTACTAAACCTGTCAGCAAGAGGGGGACATGGACCTGCATGGGATTCCAGAATCATAGACTTGGGGTTTGGGTAGAAATTGTCCGCAAGACTCTGTCCCCAGCTGATGACAACACTGAGACATGATTGGACCAAATGGATGCTAACCTCTTAAGTAGATTAGTCCACTCCTATGATCCCAAATGAACGGTGATTAGAAAGGGGGGGCCTAGTTGGAAGAGGGAGGCACTGTAGGCATGCCCTTGAAGGATAGCTCTTTCCCTTCTCTCCCCCCATTTTTGCCTTCCTTCTGCTGTGACAGTCCCACAGTTTCAGAAACAAGAGAGCCAAGAGACCACGGACTGAACCTCTGAAACCATGGCCCTGCAAACCTTTCCAGTGATTACTTCTCTCAGGTATTTTTGTAACAGCAAGAAAGGGCTGACTAGTGGGCGCACACACACAAATACATCTTTAAAAAAAAAAAAAAGCTGCTTAACACAGGACTCAGGCTGCAAAGACCACAGAAAAACCCCTACGCCCTGATACTAGACAGAAAGAGTGATGAAAAAGCCTGCAGAACCACAGAATCAACCACATTTTGTAAAGTGGGAGAACATGTATTTAAAAAGAACCAATGATGCTCGATGTGGCAGGGCATGTTTTTAACACCAGCACGTGGGAGGCAGAGACAGGTGGATCGATATGAGTTCAAGGTCTGACAGACTATCTAAAAAAAAAAAAAAATTAAATAAAAAAATAAAAAGCAACAACTAATGAACACTGATGTTTTTCCAACTGTAACATCTGAGCGATCTGCTTCAAATATTTTCTTCAAAGTATTCTTTTTTCAAATTTATTTATGTGTGTTAGCCTGCTTATCTAGATATGAACCACATGTGTGCAGGTGCCCCCGGAGGCCTAAAGAGATCACCTGAAACTGGAATTGAAGGAGGCTGTGAGCCACTTGGTGTGGATACTGGGAACCAAGCCCAGGTACTCTGCAAGCCCAGTAAGTATTCTCAAGCCCTGAGCTATCTCTCTGGCCCTTCAAACTATTCTTTTTCTTCCTGTCTGCATGTATGTAGGTGTACCATGTGCATGCAATACCTGCATAGGCCAGAAGAGGGCACTGGGTCCCCTAGAATTAGAGTTAATAGACATTGTTAGCCACCAGGTGAATGCTGGGAATCAAACCTGGGTCTTCTGCAAGAACAGTCAGTACTCTTAATGGCTGAGCTCTCTCTCCAGGCTCATCTTCCAAATATTCTTGATAAATGAATTTATAAGAACTGAAAAAAATTACTGCAAAGCAAAAGCAAACTCCATCCAAATAAACCTTCCTGACTGGAAAGGAAGATGGCTCCAACCATCCAAAGAGACCAGTGAATTTTCCAGTTAAGCAAATTCTATTTTACTTACACTTCTGTTCCAGCTCCCTCATTTCCTCTGGTGGAATTTTCATTTTATCAATGTGCTCACGTAAAACACTGGCCCATTTCTGTAGAGATTCCATCACAGTCCAAGGTCTAGACATGTCTGCAACAAAAATGACCAGGGTCTCTGGCAAGGATTCAGCAGAAACAGCAAATTTCAGCAGGCCTTTGTGGTAGAGATCTCCATCCAGAATCCACACATTGCAGCGTGTGTGATCTGAAATGTGAAATGAAGCTAAGTTATCGCCTGACAATGACCATCAGCACAGCTAAGAGAAGAGCAGCATTTAAAAAAATCCTAACCCAAAGGGGCAAATATTCCATGGACAGCAAATCCTTCATCCTGGTACTTAACTGCTTAGGTATAAAATTTCTTTAAAGCTGAGTGTAGTGGCACACACCTTTAATCCCAGCAGAGGCAGATGGATCTCTGTCAGTTCAAGGCCAGCCTGTTCTACAAAGTGAGTTCCAGATCAGCTGAGGCTACAGAGAGACCCTGTCTCAAAAAGACTGAGAGAAAAAAAAAAGTTTCCTATGGATGGGGATAGAATGGCCTGGCATGGAGAGTTAGCCACAGCAGTGTGAAAAGAGGCACTCCCCTACTGGGCATGAGAGCCCAAATTGGGTGAGAAGAGCAAAGCAATAGCGGTTGGCCTGACACAGGGTGGATGGTTTATACAGTCAACTCGACAGGATCTAGAATCACCTAGATACAGCCTCTGGGCACACCTGTGAAGGGTTATCCTAATTAGGCTGATTGAGATGGGAAGGGCCACCCTAAATGTAGGTTGTACTATTCCCTGGGTTGGGGTTTTGAACCGCATAAAATGGAGAAAGCTGAAGTGAACATTGACACAAGCCTTTAATCCCAGCACTCCGGAGGCAGAGGCAGCTCTGTGAGTTCAAGGCAAGCTTGATCTACACAGTGAATTCCAGGCCAACAGGCCAGGTGGGGTTACAGGGAGATCC